TTCCGCCAAATAACAAAACACAAATGTGCATCACTAAGCAACGCATGACGTCAACCACAGTTGCATACTATTGTACGAAGTAGTAATTTGCCCGCAAAATGTAGGAAACCCGAGAATTTCTACCAAGTTCGTATCTTAGCGACGCAGTAATTAAGATTAAATCACATGCCGCTTCGCGAATAAGTGTGCTGCATTCATAGAAATAATTTAAAACTTCCTTTGACTACGCTTTACAAGTTACTACAGGAATTAAAGCTTAATACAAATGGTTAGTTGCTTAGTTGGGAAATATATGAGTATAATGTGGTCTAGAGAGTACTAGCGTAATCGTTTCATGTATTTTCAATTTTTAATTAAGAAAAATAAACAATCATTTTTCTCTGTTGAAACTAATGAGATATACCATTATTGGATAAAATTTATTGTACGGATTTATCGTAAGTAATTTACTTATTTTACACTTCCAACATTTGTGCAAAATCATAAATGACATAAAAATGTTCCCACTAGAACATCAGATTTAATAGACTACAAACCCTCGTTAAAAGGCGGAATCGGTGCAGCCTTTTTTGACCCACAATGTAATCTTAGCTTACAATTTAAGATAGATAGTAGTGTATGCATCATGGAGGCTGAGCTAGTAGCAATATGTGAAGCACTGTCACACGCTGCATCACTACCACAAGATAATATTGTGATATTGACAGACTCAAGAAGCGCACTCCAACACTTGGCTCGCTGCACCTTGGGTACACGAGGCACACCGATAGCCTACATCGTTCTGGATACTATACATGGGTTAACATCCAGGTCGAAATCGATAAAGCTACAGTGGATTCCGTCTCATTGCGGCGTGGAATATAATGAGCGAGAAGATATCTTGGCTAGACAGGCTATTACGGATGGCATCGAGTACAACATATTGCCCCATTACACTGATTGTATTTGTATTATAAAAGTCTATGCTACAACCTATGGAAAGAATATTTCGATTTACGTTCAAAAGAAAAGGGTATTTGGTACAAGACGGTACAGCCACATCCGCCTAAAATAACATGGATTGATAACCATAAGCTATCGCGACAGGATACAGTAGTGATAATGAGGCTTCGTACTGGACACATTCCATTTAGAAAGTTTGCATTCCTTATGAAAAAAGGTCCAGTCACGAACTGTGATCAATGCGGTGTTCCAGAGGACCTAATGCATGTCTTGATGGATTGTGCCCACAACGCTGCCTTTCGTATTGATAAATGCCACCACATTTTAAAAGATTTCGCAGATTGTAATATAATTTTAGTTAAGCCACATTCTAACGATATAAAAATATTAGTCAAACTTTACAAGGTGAAGTTCTCGGATCGCTTACTCACTTCTCAATGTGATTGATCTGGGAACTTTTCATTTTACTTTTTGTAACTAAATGCATATCTTCTTCAACTTTCAGTAATTAATTATTGATTTGAGAACTTTATAATGATGAGAATTTTGTAAATAAGTTTAAGTATACCTAATGTAATTGTTTTTTTTTTTTGGTGATGAATTAACGGAGCGACATATTCATATTGTGAATAAGCTCATTAATAAAGAATTAAAAAAAACCCTCGTTAAAAACATTCACAAGAAAATGCTTATAATACTTGAATCGTAACAACGTATAAATAATTTTAAAAATTAAAATAGTTTTTTTTATAATAGAGAGAGAGAGAGAGAAACACTTACATAATAATATAACAGATAGAGGAATAGTCTTAAACAGTTGCACGGGACTTACAGAACTTTGTAATCTAATTAACGCTACGCAGTGACCCAAAATGAGAACGTCGACTTGTTTTCGCACTCCCAAGTACACTTGCTTCACCGCCCGATCCTCTTTCATTCTTTTGAGATGGTCTAGCCCATGAAGTCTGTGGACTTTTTATTACGCTAATAATGTTCGGCTCACCTATCACTTCTTCAATTTCATTATTTGTTATCCGCCGCCACATTCCGTTCTTTCTCCTTACTGACTCTAGGATTTTTCTCCATAGCATAGAATACTTGCGCCTGCTCTGAGTCTTCACCACGTAAGGGCAGCATCCCATAGTGGCACAAAAGGGAATGGTCGGTAGTGCAGCCTAAATTCAGTGGACTTGCTAACCGAAGAAGTATATAGTTATTTAGTATTTCGGGGGTTATATGGGGGGCTAATATCTGCTCACATAAACATCTATTGTTACGAGATCGACAATTATTATTATTAATAATAAAAAAACTTCGATTTGTGTACCAGCAGATTAAACTCTTTGTTAGTTCTTAAAAATAGATTAGACTTTTTTTTAAATTTGGTATTTATATTTTCCCACATAGTTTCAAAATATGAACTTATACAACTAAATGCTAGCTAGCCAGCTATAAATATTTACATGTATTAAGTTATACAAGAAGATCAAGGTGGGACACTGGTGCTCAAACTAGGTGGCCCTGTGCTACGGGATTATTAAAAGAGAAATGATTAGAGCCTTGATTCCATAGAAGAATTTGACATTATTATACGTTATTAATTTTATTAATAAACCTTAGCCTAACCTGCTAAGAATACCAAAATGATTAATAGTGCGAAAGAATAATGTCGGAAAAAAGATGTGTTCATTTCGTCAGAAAACACGAAGATAATATTTAAACTGTACAAATCCAGTCCTGTAATCCTGATATCTATTCCAGAAAACGGCTGACTGACAGACTGTCATGTGGGAGGGGTAATAGCGTGACAGGTTGAGACACGCCCGGGGATCAATCGATAAGCTATAGAAAGAAAAAAATACAGGTAAGAGTTACAAAAGAAAATAATAAAATATTATTTCGGAAGTTTTCCACTGAAAAGTGCCGTACCAGATTGATTATCGATAAAATTTAGGAGCTTGAACGAGAATGAAATTGAATTGTTATTGTTAGGAGCAATTTGTTCGTATGCGTCAAAGCATTGAATAGAACAGGGTTTAAACGATATCTTTGTTGAGCGAAAGTTTGCTATTTCATTGTATCTTTTAGGATAAATGGTTTCATATCGATTTTCTTCAAGTTTTACGAGTATATCACATTTTTATGTATTTCGAAAAATATTAATGGAAACTTAAAATGTTAACTTTTTGTAAAATATTAATTTCATTTAATGAATACAGAAAAAGAAATTCCTGAAAAATATCATCATTTAATGGAAAGGCCTATGTACACTAGTGGACTTAACAAGTCCACTAGTGTACATAGGCCTTTCCCAAGGAACCTTTTTTCCCCATCAGTTGTCGGGTCTACGAGCTATATGGCCAGCCTATTGCCACTTCAGCTTACTAATCTGTTGAGCTATGTCAGTCACTTTGGTTCTACTGTGGATATCCTAAAGTTTATCACGCAAAGAAACTTCGAGAATAGCCTATATAGCTCGCTGGGCATTCTTGAGCTTCCTCAAACGGCTTTCACTGAAGGACCACGTCTCAGATTCATAAGTCATAAACGGCAACACGCCATTGTTGTACAATATCTCTTAAAGTTTTGAAGATGTGTCGTAGTTTTCCCAACGCTGCCCAGCCGAGTTGAATCTATTGACTGAGAGATTCAACTCAGCTGGGCAGCGTCGTCGTTGTCTCGTCAACAATTTTGAGATTAGTGCTCCCAACAACTACCAGCATAGACATTAGACATGACATCTTCAAGAGGTGAAGTTTGCCATAGTTGCCACGCTTAGGTAGAGCGGTTTGGCAACTGAATTTTTGAATTGTACTATTGCTGTTATCAGAAAGATGCTGCTTGTATTTATCTGTCACTTCTTATGGCATCCACTGGAAAATATGAGGTAGTGGCTGTTTTTCACCGTGGCGGTACACGGCGAAAATATATTATAAGTAATATATCAAGATATTCTAACCCATAATATTAAGTGTAACGAAGCGTTTAAAAGCATATAAATTTCCCATCACTACGTACCGGGTGCAGAGGAGAGAGAGGTGTCCCATAAATCAGTTTCCGTCGGCGTTAGGCCTTTCTTAATACAATTTTACAAGTGAAGTGTTTATTTGTCAACAACTATTTTATCGATAAAATAGGTTGAATTTATATATTACCAGAATTTATTGTAACTACAATAGTAAATCCGAAAACATTCTTTAATTATTATGTTCACAGAAAATATTTTCTATTGATGACAGTTATTTTATTTATAATAAAAAATGATTCTTAACTAAAAATACGTTAATTAAGAAATATAAATATCGACAATTAATATCTATCGTGTGGAGCATCATTGAAATACATAAATCATGGAGACATACGCCCTATCTGTTGCCAGCTTAATACGATCCCTGAAGCGTTTGGAGGGGTGTATGGCATTGGGAGGAGGGAAAGGGAGGCCTTTTTTTTACAATCTCCGCGTAAGCAAAAAGCTGACTTCGCGGACGTGATATTGTTGTGTATTTTCTGGAAGTTTTGATAGGATATTGCTTCCTACGCCGCTATCTTCATATCTTATATTTGAATATTTTTCTTGTCAAATTATATTAATTTGATTATTAATTTATTTTGAATTGGAATAAAATTGGTGTTTTGGTTATAAATATGAGTTTTTCTTTTGAACAAATATAATAATGAAGCAAAATAGAAATAAAATATATGCTTATTTATTTTTATAGAATAAGGAAGCCAAGTTCGAGCACCTAAGGGTAAGTGGATGCAGTGGCCCATATACATCAACATATAATCGCGATTAAGTATCAAAATGCAGACGCATTTTTAATATTACCCTAGAGTTCACATCTAATCAAAAATTTAAACACAGCACAACATAGAATACAATATGCAATCGAATGTAAAGCATTGTTTTTAAATTATATTGCTACAATTATCTCTCCGCTTCATGAGTGTTATTTAGTATGATGTGTATCCATGTTATTAGCTAAGTGCCATAATGTATATTTGTAAGTATGATTTTCAAAAAATGCTGTTGAGTTCCCTAAGAAAAAAAGTCTTACCTGTAAGCCATACGAATCTGCTCGCCGTTCTTGTACCAAATTAGTTGGGCAGGTGGATTTCCTCCACGACTTCGGCAAACGAGCTCCAAGCTTTGTCCGCGCCTCACTGTTTCACCTTCTGCATAGCCCTCGATGTACGGCGCGCCAGGTGGATCTACGAACGAAACACAAAGTATGTAAATGACATGAGTCTTCGTCATAATTATTACAGTTATTCACAAGTCAACTGCTTAACATGGGCCTCCCCCAAAGGAATGCCACAAAGCACGGACCTGAGTCACCTGCATCTATCGGCTTCCTGCATGTCTTACCAGGTTGTCACTCTATCTAGTGGGATAACATGAGTACCATCACATAATTTTTTAATAGCTTCACTGAATTTTATGATGAATTTTTAGTAAATATTTCCTGTAGTCACGACGTAACGCAAATGGGTCGACCCAGCCGCCTGTCCGAATGTAACACGGAATAAATATTGAGACTGTTTTTTTTATTAAATTAAAATATTGGTATATATTTTTTTTTTTCAATATAAGAGGCAATAGAAGAGTTATCATGAGAAAATATTGGATAAAAGGTAGCATATTTTTCCCATGTTTTACAACTAAAAATCGAAAAATAAAGTAAAATAGCCTTTTATTTCTAAAATCAAAAATATAAATTAAATTTTCTTTTTAAAATTAACCTTATTCAATTAGTACTCTTATTAATACTATTATCAATTATGAACATTATTAAAATATTATAATATAAGTAGCACATTATGACGATTAAAAGTTAACTAATTTATGAACAAATCTTTGATTAACACTCGACTGGAAACAGGGGAAAAGTCTGGAGGAGGCCTTTGTCAATTAGACATTCCAAAATCAGAGACTTTATATAGTAAATGTATTGTTATGCTAATAGTCTCGTTATGCTAGATCTTGTTTTATTTAATTAAAATATTTAATAATAATGAATTAACTAAATATATTTTTTTAAATATCAGAGATAAAACTGACGGGTGTACTACGCACTCGGCCAATATCAATTTCATGCTTTCATGCTCAGTGAGCAAATTCACTCATAAAGCTTTCTTAATTTCAGTTTCATTTTAGGTTAATGAACTTCTTAGCAATTTGCTAAGACTGTCGCTTAGTACGTGTAACGTTCTCTTTGTATTTAATCTTATGACTTTTATTCCTTCGAACCTCGCAACCCCTAAAAATTGACGGCTCAATTTAAAAAATTAAAGCCCCCTTTTGAGGTATTTGTAGAGATGCTCCTTTAAGCGAGTTGCGAAGAAAGATTTGTTTAACTTTTGTACTTGAGTGTCTTTGACGAATTTTTTTCTTTTCATTTTCCAGTCGCGTCTACGGTTGTATTTTTTAGTTTCTACATTTTTCTGCTCATAGCGATTGCCGCTTTGTTGTGAAATTTTTCGCATAAATAATTAAAGAAACAAAGCATCGCTGTCGAAAGTTGCGGACGTTGCTGTGAGTTAAGATACTTGATATATATATAAATATAAATGTTAGATATTTCCGTAGGTTCCGAAATGAGATTGACTCATGGTAAATGAGTCAATCTCATTTCGGAGAGTATCCCTGTGCTTATTATTTTTTTATTTATCTTTAACTCGCCGCATTGCTTCAATATATGTTGGCCAAATTAACTTGTACTTTTTATAACAATAAGATACTTTTTATTGAATGGGGGTGACAAACGAGCACACAGTCCATCTGAAGCTAAGTGGATACTGTGGCCATAGACATCTATATTTATCTTATATTAATAATCAAAATGCGTGGTCATCACCGAGAATTGCGAACTGACCAATTCGTGCTACAACCATGATATAACTGCAGCGTGGCACAATCACTACACAACGCTACGACTTAGGAACCTTCAACAAAAGCAAATCCCCTGATGCTGCAATTGTTCAGGGGCGGTTGTCCCTTCCCTTTTCTTTAAAAAAATACTTCAAGGTGGAATGTGGCGATAGATTATCTTACACTACTTCCTATACTTATTCTTTCACATCGCTCGTTCGTTCGTATCTTCCGAGGGGCACTACTGCCTCGATAGGTGACGGACTTTGGAATTTTTCGCATAGCCTGGACTTCATCTCGGAGGCAGCAGTGCTCCGGTCAGAGGTGCCTTTATGGCTTGTTGGAAGTGCATGGTTATTTATTATTATTATCTTAATATTCTCAGCCAGTAACTTTCTACTGCAGGAAAGCGTTCCCTAATAGAAAGCCACACAACCGCCAAGCCAATAATTGTCACGTTTTCAAGGGGATTAGTGATTGCAATAAATTCACCTTTATTTCTGTGCCCTGTTTTATCTATAGAATCATGGTAGTTGCGGCAGGTGTTCAATCAGGACACACGTTCACCTTGTGGAATTGTAAGTGGATGGAAAGGCCCGTAGATATATATATCATCGTTGATTAAAAATCAAAATTTAAATGTTGTCACTCTTGGGTTATAGGATAGAATACCCAGTTAGTAGTAAAACGTATCACCGGTTCTATATTATACTCGCCATACGAAACGAAAAATATAAAACAGCTATTTTACGCTGGTATTCTGTGAGAGACGAATTGGTATCTCAGTCAGGTCCACCAATTCGTGCTCAAACATAATATAGCTGCAACATAATTCTATTTCTTCAAAAAGTGAATAACATGCATCTGACATTAATATGGATATAGCAAACCATTGCAGGCTTACAGTTATGCTGGAAATGCCTATGGTCTTTTAAAGATTACTTTATTGCATGTATTTGAAAAAAATCTATTAACCTTTAAAATATCTTGTTTTACTTTTTCTCATTTTTGCATTATATTAAGACGTCTATTAAAACAACATAACGGTACTTGTAAGGAAATTGTCACAAAAACATATCCAAGTTTCAATAGTTGCTTTCCTTGTTGTTTCTTATTGTTCCTGCTGTTTATTCCAAATGTTTTTATTCCGTTATCCTCATCCCCAACGTCTTTCGTGTTAAATGTCGTATTAGCGTCATTTTTTGCTATATTTTGCGCAAAACATGTTTATATTGTTTTATTGATTTAGCAATTGTGTAAATATTGTACTTTTAATAATACACCTGACAAAATATTATAATTTTATACATAATATTCAAATGGCAAACGGGTTAATTAGTCCAGAAAAATTGTAATCATCATCATCATAATTACAGCCCTTCACAAGTCCACAGCTGTACATAAAGTACGGTCCTGAACTACCTGCATCCATCGACTTCCTGCACGTCTCACTCCGTCTAGTGGGAGGTCGCCCCACACCTCGCCTACCGGTACGAGGCTGCCACTCGAGAACCTTTTTTCCCAATCGGTTGTCGGTTCATCGAGCTATAAGGCCGGCCTATTGCCACTTTAGCTTACTAATCCATTGGGCTATGTCGGTCACTCTGGTTCTACTGCGGATATCAATATTTCCAAATTTATCATGCGTAGAAATCTCGAGCCCTCCCCATAGCTGAGCGCCCTTGAGTGTCCCCATACGGCCAGCGGTGATGGACGACGTCTCAGATCCATAAGTCATTACTAGCAATAAAGAAGTGTAAATAAGGATTAGTAAGCTTAAGTGGATTACCACATAAGCTGGGCACCACATAAGCTACCAATCGGGGCAGGCCATATATTTGGAAGAACGACTACCAATGGGTAAGAAAGGTTCTCGAGTGGCCGCCCCATACCGGTATGCGATATGTAGGGTGGCCGGTAGGCGACGATCTGGTAAGACATGTAGGATGTTAAAGGATGCAGGTGGCTCAGAACCGTGCTTTGTAGCCTTTCTTGGGGGAGGCGTATGTTTAGCAGTGGATTTTTGAAGGATCGTAATGTTGATGATGTTGAGTTTTAAATAGTAATTGACGGCTCTTTGCTGTAGTGGCTTAGAAATGAGGTGCAACGCTGTGGACCGGTTCGAATCTCGCATGGAACAATTTACTTATACGGCCTACAAATAATTGTTCCGGGTCAGGATGTTGGTCCTAGTGCAATTTATTGTAGTAAACTGCCTCCACGATATAAGAGAAAATAAAAGAGGCATTTTTAAAAAAAGAAAGAAAGAAAATGAAGGTCAAAGTGCGTGGCTCCTTCATTCAACGGACACTTGTCATCATCATCAACACCACACAATTCCACTTCTGAACACTTCTGAACATATGACTCTTCCAAGAACTTATTACTATAACGCATGGTCCTGAGCTATCTGCGTCCTTCGACTTTCTGCATCTACTACTATGTCGTCGAATCCAGGTGGGGTCACTTTACACTTCATCTACCGGTGCGAGGCTGCCTTTTGAGAACCTCTCTTCTTCACCGATTGTCGGTTTTTCTAGCTATACGACCATTGTCATTTAACCTCATTTACTAGTACTTCCTTTGGACTATGTCTGTTACTCTGGATCTAATGTGAATGTCCTCATCACACAGGGAAACTTCAGAAACGCTGAGAGACCTTCAGTTTTTTCATACGGCTAGCAGTGTGACGACGCTTCAGATCCATATAAAAATCTAGCCCGATTCAAATAAAGAAAACTACTTTTGCGTAATCAGTAATCACATCTGAATAGATAATAATAAGATTAAAAAATATATGGAAGTCATGTGTATAATTGTTTTATAACCCTCTCAGTTATGAGGGAATCAAATGAACACTATTGGGAAGTATATTTATTCTGTATATTTTGTTTACTTTTATATTTATGTGAAAACTTGTGTAATACAAGCAAGAAATAATTACTAACAGTACAAGATTTTAATTTATATTAAACGTTATTACGTTTATAATTAACGTTTTATTTTTTGGTAATATCCATTCAGATATTCTCAATAGAACATTTTAATACGCAGTGAATTACGTCGTCGTAGTCTTAGTTTCGGGAATATAATACCTTTTGAATAAATTTAACTTCCATGTAAGGTCTAATTTAAGTATTATTATTTTAACTAACATTTAAGTTGAAATTCATCAAAGAAAATTTAAACGTAAGCTATATTATTCTTGCAATAAGAATTAAACTTTTTATTAAAAAAGTAATAGCTGTTTCAAAAAATTAAAAAAAAATAACAAGAAGACTTTGTATAACTAAATAAATAATAATAAATAAACATACAGTTGAATTGACGCCCCCATCTT